AGGGAAGTGATTCTTGCCCTGGACTCAGCGCTGGTGAGGCCACCCCTGGAGTGCTGTGTCCAGCTCTGGGCCCCTCAGTTCAGGAAGGACATGGAGGGGCTGGAGCAGGTCCAGAGAAGAGCAACAAGGCTGGGGAAGGGACTGGAGCACAAGTGCTGTGAGGAGAGGCTGAGGGAGCTGGGGCTGTTCAGCCTGGAGAAGAGGAGGCTCAGGGGAGACCTCCTCACTCTCTGCAACTCCCTGACAGGAGGGGGGAGCCAGGGGGGGGTTGGTCTCTTTTCCCAGGCAAGGATCAGCAAGACAAGAGGGCTCAGGGTCTTCAGCTGTGCCAGGGGAGGTTTAGGTTGGATATTAGAAAGAATTTCTTTGCAGAGAGGGTGCTCAGCCATTGGAATGGGGTGCCCAGGGAAGTGGTGGATTCTCCGTCCCTGGAGGTGTTTAAGAAGAGACTGGATGTGGCATCAGTGCCATGGGCTGGGAACCACAGCGGGGTTGGATCAAGGGTTGGACTTGATGATCTTGGAGGTCCCTTCCAACCCAGCTGATTCTGTGATTCTATGATATAGGGTTGAAACTGTGTGAGCCCTGTGAGCTGCTCCTTTTTTTACAAACAGTGCTTCAAATCTCCTCAGAAATTCAACTGGTTGTTGCCCAGGAGCAGTAACACGGCTACAAAGGAGGGCAATTTTTCAGTTATCTTTGAAACTATGTACTGGTTTGGTTTGGTTTTTTTTAAAAGAAACTTCTCTGACTTTCAGAGGAGTGAACCAGACCTGAGGGGAGGAAAACATGTGGAAGTTTGTGCAGTGAGGAGTCACTGGACAGCTGAGAAACGTTTGTGTGCAGCACAAAAACCAGTCAGGAAAGTGTTGTAGGTTCCTGTGGGAAGTTCACCTCGGGCAACTGTGATGCCTTCAGGGAGGTGTAAAGGACACCTGGCTGTATTTTTGGGATGAAAAGATGTTAGAAGCCAACTGCCAGCATTGACAGCTTTGGTTTCCATCACTTGAGGTCAGGCAGGAGATCATCTGATCCCGTGAAACACTTTGCAAAGACCTTTTAACACGTGTTTTGGGATCTTCAGGGAGAGCACAGAGGGATAATGAGCTGTTGGAGGTTTGCTGCAAACCCATTTTTGAGCAGCACACCTCTGTCTCACAACTCTGGGCTTTCATTCTTTGCCTTGCACGCAGTATTTTGTTTGCTTTTCAGATAATATTCCTGCTGCCTCGTGTAGCAGTGTCAAGATCAAAGGTCATCCTTGCACTGGTAGGGTTTTACCACTTTAAATACTGAGTATTTATTGCTGTTTTCTCTAAGTGCAGTAAAGGAAGTGAGATGTAATTGAATCCCTTTCAGTTGTTAAGTGTTATGAAATGATGAGGAATATGCTGACCATTTGCTGCAGACAGTCTATAATACGAGACAGGGATCAAGCCTGCATTTCACACATGAATAAGCACAGTTAATCTCCTGATTACAACAGCCCTGCCCGGCTGGGAAGGGAGGCTTTGGGGGGAAGGAAATTCTGACGTCTGCTCTGTCATTAACTGAAATAAGCTGCTCCTCAGAGAAAATGAGACCCAGGCCTGAAATTAAAGGCAGTTTCTCTAGACAGAAATATCATCTGTCTTGATCCTTGTACAGAAAGTGTTTTAAAACAGCGGACGAGAAAAAAAATCTGTTAATTCTGATAACGTGGTACCTTCTCCTCCCTCTTTAAAAGAGGAGAATTTCTTTGTTTCCACTCTTGTGGAATTTTATGGAGCACTTGAGTGGTGCAGCTTTAGTTAGTCTTGCAGATAGTCCCTAAATCTCAGGATGCTGCTTTCTTTAGAGAGAAATTGCTTTAATTACAGTGGGAATGTCTGGTCAGGGCTCATCCTGGGAGCCCACCCTACACTTACTCTTCCATTTTGAGGAGCTCAGATCCACAGGCAGTTGTCTGGAGTTTAAATAAAACACTTAATGTGGCTGAAGACCAGAGGTTTTGCCTTTGCTGCTCCCAAAAATAGCCCCGATCTAGTTTTGGTTTGGGTGATTTAAATAAAGCTTTTCTGGAAGATGAAAGGTTTGTGGGGGAACAGCTGAGCCTTCAGCCACTGAAAAATGGAATTCCCAGTGGAGAAAAGCACAGCTAAATCCACCCAGGGAGTGACAGTTTGGGAGATATTTGTAGCCACGTTGCAGAGATGGAGGTGCCAAAATAAAATTTAGAATTGGAAACTGAAATGAGGTGTGGGCAGAGCTTTGGGTGTAGTTACACTTGGAGTTGCCTGCAAGGCAGCAATGGGCTCGTTCTAATAAACACACACAAATGAAGGTTTTCAGTATTATACAAAACTCATCTCTGTCTTAAAATAAGTGACTTAGAGGCAGGTATAGGGATGTGATCTATTGGTAACATTGATAAATATCCTGTAAAACCAGGGCTGTTGTCAAAGGGACACAATTCTGTTTCATTGACCCTTAGCTTGGTTGTTATTGTGTACCAGCAATTTCTCTTCATGCTTTGATTTCTTTGTTGGTTTTCCCCAGATCTGAATTTACAGCACTTGGCAATGTTTATATTTTACCTATTTTAGTAAACATGCTACAGATTTCTCTTTTTATTTGCCACAGACTTGCCTGTCAAGAGATCCATATGCATGCTTTCAACCCTTTTTTCTTCTCAAAATCTGGTGTCTTTTCGCTGAAACCTCTGTCAGCAAATGAGTGGGTTTTTTTTACAATACTTGATTATTCATCAGGGGAAAATGTGATTTATTTGTTGGGGTATGGGTGCTCCCTTGGCTGGTCTGTGGTGGGATGGTGGAATAGCTCCACTGCCTCTGGTTTAGGTTCTCCACCCTAATCTCACTTTTTGTCTCTTCATCTGCATTTTGTTGGCTGAATGGTTCCCCTGCCAATCCAGTTGTGTAGGTGTGGTGGCTGGAAGGAAAGCAGAGTGATTGTGCCTGATAAAACCCAGCACAAGGTGGGATTGTTGGGGTGTCCTGTGCAGGGCCAGGAGTTGGCCTTTAATGATCCTTTTGGGTCCCTTCCAGCTCAGGATATTCTGTGATCCCGTGATAGAATCTGTTCAAAATAATCTGCTGTGTATAACAACGAGGGGTTTTTTCCTGTTTTAAATGTTGTTAAGCAACCTCATAATGCAGATGTTTCCTTGGCTCCAAATGACTCCAAGTTCCCCAGATAACAGTTCTTGTTACAGAAGCAGCTCCTGCAGGTCCCGTGGGCCTGTTCTCCCCTAACAGCCTTTAGCAGGAGGGAGTTATCTTGCATTATATGGTCATTTTTTAAAGCTCTGCTTTTTAATGGTGCTATGGGATGACTACTTTGCATTACTCAGCCCTATTTTGTGGTAATCATTGCCATTAGCCTGGCTGACTTCAGAGAAGCAGCAGTAAATACACGGCTTCATATTTACTGCCTGTGGATCATTGTTTGTTCCCGTGTGTGTTATGACTGCAGAGGCCATTAAAGCACCTTTTTGAATGGCAAGAGGAGTTCTAATAAAGAACTCCCACTTTAATAGGGTGGATCAATGTGGGAATTTTTGTGCTCTGCTCCCAGCTCTGTACCTTGGTTACTCTGGGCTTTTGAGGTCACCACTGAACCACTCGGCCCTGAAGGTCCTCGGGGTGTGTGATGGAGCAAGAAGGGATTTGGGAGAGGCTCCTGCAGTGGTTTGGCTGTCACAGGGCTGGTGACCAGTGTGCAGACAGCCCCAGTGTCCTGCTGTTTGCTGCAGCCCTCACCAAACACTGAGAGAACAGAAAGCACAGCTCGTTTATCTGCTAAATTTGGGAGCCCAGAAACTTTCTAAGACTGTATTGATCTTATGTTGCTGCTCTTGAACTAGTGTGGGGTGAAGTTTGTGGCTTATTTGGAACATTACTTTTCTGGTAGCCTGTGTGTAAAGCTGTGTGAAAGCAGGTGTGTTCTCAGAGAGCTGCTCTCAGGTCACTGTTGGGAGTGTGGTCCATAAATTGCCCACTGGTTTTTGGAGGAGGCAGGAGCTGATGTGCTCACTCCAGATATCATTCCCAGTGTTCCCTGTGGCCAAAGCTGACTGTCTTGTTAAATGTTGTTCTTGGTCCTTCCTGAATTTAGGAGCTCTTGCAAGTAAAAGTTGTTCTACTTGTGCTGGAATAACACAAAGGGAAATGTTACTTTGCTGTCTTAGATCCTTCCCACTTCAATCCTTAAAAATCCTCATGATTGCCTGATAAACCTGGCAATTTCCTCCTGAAAAATTGACTCTGAAACCATGCAAAACATCCTGGTGACAAATGCAGAAATAGTTTTGCCTTGGGAAATCTGGCTTTGCTGCTTTCCCCCAAGTTCTGTGGCATCACCACCGTGTTGAAGAGAGGGATTTAGGATCTTATCTGAGCTGTCACCCTGCATAGCTCGTCTGTCAAACAGCCCCTCGACCTGGATTTGGGGATGATGCCATGACATCCCAGTGTGTCAGTGTGAGGGTGGAATGTGCAGTGGGAGGGCAGCACCAGAAACTGGGATTTCAGGCCTGGCAGCTGCGAGACACGGCTCAGAAATGTGAGATCTCCCCTCAGAAATGTGAGATCTCCCCGTTTGCTTTGCTCGGGTCACGGTGGGTAAATAGCAGGGCAAGGAAAAGGTCGGTGTCTGTCATGGGAAACACCTGGAATTGTGTGCCTGGATTCCAGGGTCACCTCGGGGCTGGGAGATGCTGATGAAGTCAGAGCCTGTCGGGTGCTTTGTCTGCACCCTGGAGCCATCAGGGGTGATTGGCCCAGAGCAGTTCTGATGAACAAACACACTTTTAATTGCCTGTTCTTCGAGGGCTTACAAGGGCTGTAAATGTGTAACTCGGTGACCATTCCTGCCCACAGTGTTCCAGCGGGTGTTTGTGTTACAAACTCGCAGGGAAGGAGATAAGGAAGACAACTGATAAGAGGCACATAAATCATTGGAGAGGCTCCTGAGAGCTTTTTAAGACTTTCAGCAAACTTGCCTCCAGAAGGGTCACACACTTGGCCTCTGAGCATTCAAGGACAGGCAGCAGGACCCTTCAACACCAGCAGGATTGGTCCAGTCCTCACACCCGGGAAGTGCCCGAGAACAGGGCAGGAAAATTAATGTTAGTGCTGAACAATGCATTAATAGCCCAGGGAAGAAGCTGGTGTGTGGTTTGTGCTCCTGGCAGGGAGAGCTCTGTGTTCTGGCTCTGTGTGTGGGAGCTGGGTGGAAAATACTGCAGGTAAACACAGCAGGAGCTGGAAGTTGGGGTGAGTACCTTCAGCAAAATCTCACTCCAGGCATGAAATACTGTCCTAGAGTGATGGTAGAAAGCTCTTGCTGTATCTTTTCTCCTTTTGCTTTCCTTTTTTCTTTTGCTTTTCCTTTTGCTTTCCTTTTTATTCTTTTGCTTTCCTTTTTTCCTTTTGCTTTCCTTTTTTTCCTTTTGCTTTCCTTTTTTTCCTTTTGCTTTCCCTTTCCCCCTTTTGCTTTCCCTTTCCCCCTTTTG